TATGATGAATATATGATGAAAAGATGTGAGATGGCGGTACTTGGAGTGTTCAGTAGATAGATGGATGGACGGACAGACAGACAGACCGACGCACGGACGCACGGACAGACGCGTGGATGGACGCACGAACGGTCGCATGGATGGACGCATAGATGGACGCACGGAGGGATGGAAGCAAGAACGAACGGACGGACGGAAACATGGACTGACTGATGGATGCTTCGCCCCACTCATCATCATTTACTCCATGGATATGCTGTGATTTTTTTAATCTCCTTTAACGGACAGTTTTTAAACAACGTTGATTTGAATATATATGGGGTTTTAAGTCCGCGGACCACGTGCCGTACACAGAAAAACCTATAATGTTAGAAGCATTTCGCAAAATGAAATTTCATCTTATCCTAACGTTGGGCATATCAGAAGCGAAGACGCATAAGCTGGTAAATAGCTGAGTGATCTTACGAAAAACTGTCTGTCAATTTGGTCACAAGTCTTTAGAACGATAGAGCGAGCAGATTGAAGTGATCATGTGCTTGACGTAAATGAAGAGAGAACAAAGACAGCTTTCGGCTCTCCCATAGTAGGGTAACTAGTACTCTAAATCGTTAACCACTTTTCTAAACACACAACCGAGCGTGAAATGTGACGATGATGAAGTGAAGCGATGTCGAAAAGTCGTGGTCTGCGTTGACACCTCGGGTTCTCCTTATCGATCGTGTCGGCAGCCGCATGTTGCTGCTACGGCAAAAAGGAACCACCTGCCAAAAGGAAAGACAAAGCTACGCGCGTCAGGTGACATCAAGCTCTACCACTTGCCCGAGGCCAGAGAGAGAGAGCGGAAGTCATAGACGAAGAGACATATACTCAAGAATATGCCATCATAGTATGCTTGTGTGGAAGGGGGTGGAGATTAAAGAAACGTAGGGCTAATAATAGACGGTTGCCTCTTCGATCCATGTTGCACGCTGGTGGAGCTACTTAGTGTGTGAAGCATCGATTTAGAAAGAAGGAGAGGAAGGCCGCCATTCTCTCTTGATGGACGTTTGACGTACACCGATCGGGAGATCAGCACTGCCGCTCTACACGCTCGTGTTTCTCGAACTGAGGCAGCGTGTATTATGCCCTCTGTCACTTTTATTCGAAGGGTCATGTATACTAAAACCCATGCGGTCAAAGAATCGGGACGGGGTCAGTCGATTCGGACTCGCGGTGTAGTTCTTCTTTGTCTTCGTTGCAGCGTGCCGTGTGCTGTGGTCTGGAACAACCGATAAAACTCCCACACACACACAAAAAAAAGTGAGCCGCATATTTTCAAAACAGCAGATTTAGGGACAATATGAAGAGTAGAAGATATTTCAAATTTGGACAAACGTTTTCATATATCTTCTACTCTTTATTTGCAATCGGTCTTGTCTTAGTTTAAAGGAATAATTTCAAATTCATAAATTCGTTATCTGTAATCTCTCTACGCTTTCTATTCTCACGTCATATTTGATTGGTATGGTGTCTTTCTTAGTTAGTAATCATATATGATTGATTTACCTTATATCAATGACACGGCAAAGAATTCGAGAGATCTATGTGCACAAGAAGGACCTGTATTTCGAAACTGCTACTCTACAGAAAACAGTAGATGATAAAAAGATACTGATGAATGACTATGAGGTGATGAGTGGACACTATATAGCTACACCAAATAAAGGCCCAAATTGCTCGTGCAGCCCTATGATACCCGGGTATGTTTTTTTTTTTTTGCGCGGTTGGAGCATGCGTCAAGAACATCACCCTTTGACAGAGGTTGCTTGCTATTTTAGGCATAATTAACTCTTTCATCAACTCCCTCTTTTCTGAAACTCGTAGACCATACCTTGACTTCAGACCATTGAACACCACACATGATTATGACCATTTTCCTTTCCTCAGGTGTGCTGAATAATCACGCATGTGTTCCATCGCAACACTGAGTTCTCAAATACTAATGCTGCACCACCGCGGTGGTCTAATGGCTAAGGTATTCGGCTGCCAACCCGCAGGGCGCAAGATTGAATCCCGGCAGGTGTATTTTTGATGTAGGTGAAACCGCTGTAGGCTCGTGTGCCCAGATTTGGGTGCACGTTAAAGAACACCAGGTGGTAAGAATTTCCGGAGCCCTGCACTACGGCGTCTCTCATAATCATATGGTGGTTAAGGGACGTGAAACCCCACAAATCAATCAATCATCAAATACTAATGCTTTCGAAGCTGTCTTTTCTATACGAAAATTGTCCCTCATCTTCAAACTTCCAAAGCAGATATGTGCTCGTGTGCTATATGGCAAAATCGACAGGCTACCGAGCGTGTTCTACACGTCGAAACCGAGATACATTGCTTGAACTTACCTAAACCACAAAAGCGCGTATCGTTGACTCTGTTGGTCTCGACAGCACAGCAAGCATTAGGCAAAACCAACGTCTTTTCTATTACACTATGCAGTTGGCGTTTGGAGACGCAACAATATGGTTTGACCCTTCGCAGTAGACCACCTTAATCAGGAAGCATATATAGCTCTGTCGGTCGGAAGAACGCATGGAGAGACTGGACAGCCGCTGATGAACTTTTGTTGCCGCATTGAATGTCGTCAACGGCTGGTTGTTTTCGAGCATTGTACGTTATAGATTGATTCAGTCGGGTGCTACGAAGGGATCCTGTTAGGCTAGTTTTTAAATGCGAAGCATTTCTTAGCGAACTTCAACGACTTTGAGCGTATCTATCTATCTATCTATCTATCTATCTATCTATCTATCTATCTATCTATCTATCTATCTATCTATCTATCTATCTATCTATCTATCTATCTATCTATCTATCTATCTATCTATCTATCTATCTATCTATCTATCTATCTATCTATCTATCTATCTATCTATCTATCTATCTATCTATCTATCTATCTATCTATCTATCTATCTATCTATCTATCTATCTATCTATCTATCTATCTATCTATCCGCTTACGTTTTGGTGCTCTCGTGGTTACCCCCTTAACTTGGCGTGAACCAAAATTAGCATGGGCAGAGTAAGATGGTTTGACGAACATGATGCGCTGGTCAAGACATGAATAATCTCACAATCCAGTCGCGTACGTCGTCAAACACTTTCCGTCAGACAGCGGCACATACCCACGGGCGGGTATGCGCCACTGGTATGCGGGTACGTGCCACAGGTCATTGACACTTAGTATCTACCTGGGAACGACGAGAACACACGGAGGCAATTTTAACGCGTAAGCGTTAAGAAATACCCAACATCGGTAGCATCGACCCAACGATGGCATAGAATAAATGTGAGTGTTAAAAAAAACCTGACATAGGCAGCGTTGACCCCCCCCGATGAATGAAAATAATGAATTTCAGGGTCCCAGCAGGAATCGAACCCAAGCATTTTGCGTGGCAGTCAAGAATTCTACCGCAGAGCTACGCCAGGTCTCGGAACTACGTGTTAAATAGACGCTAATCTTCGCGAAACGTAAATAATGGTCCTAGTGCTGCAAACCTAATTTTATAAAAATTAATACATATGCAGTCCTTTAATACAGCCGTCACGTCGGGGTAACGCCAATTGTGGTTGGGTGCCGTGCGCTGACGTTGATTTATGTAGCAGTGTCCAGGGCCAGCATCTTCGCGAGCATGAGCACTTTATATCAGCTTCTGGGGTTGCTAATACACATGTTCCAGTTGACATCGTTGCGCAAGTGCAAACAACTGGTTACATAAACATATGCAACTCTTCAACATAAGTCTGTGCGTGCAACAATTTTACATAGACTTAGCGTCTTTTCATGAAGTGTTGTTCAAACAAAACAAAATTGCAACTAGGTCACCTTCCCTCCGCATGCTTCGCATAACGTCGATTCCCACGTAGGTGGGTTCTGCCGATTTTTTTAATGACACACCTGACTGCTACTACTGTTGTTAGAGATGGCACAACCGGATGCTAGACATTTCTAGCGGTAATAAAGAGGTCTGATGGACGTTTTTATTACCGCTAGAAGGCGTGAATGTATCGCGATAACGAAATTAACGAATGTGCTAACAAATGTACCCTAGTACGTCGGAACAAGAGTAAGTTTTTTTAAAGCAAAGAACGCGAGACTGCGAACCGAGCCTCCGAATGTGAATGTGATCTATTTCACTGGCGTGGCACATAGTAAAAAAAAAAATGTGCGTGGTGTTCGTTCGTTAAAGCCGCCTATCTATTCCAGGGTTCTCGTATTCGCTTATGGCAAGAAAACGGAGTATAGCACTAAAAAATTATCGAGGACAGAGCTAAAGTACGACGATACATAACGCACTTCATGTTCACACGTCGTACTTCATATTTTTCCTTGTTTTTTGCAGAACCACTAAATTTACTGTCACAATATATTTAATGAATAGAATGACTGTGCTCCTAACTGATTTGTCTGTCTCTATTTCCTCCCTTTCTTTTCATTTGCAGGCTAACTAAAAGTGCGAGCATCACGTGCCGTGATCCATAGAAGATATATCGCAAATGAGTGAAAGCATCACCCTATACGGCAGTTTGATCCCCAAATCCGCCAAAAGAGGCGGAATGCCCGCTCGTCATCAACGCCTGCATAGGCTACTTGCAAAACCTTGTCGAATGCGACACGTCGCAGTAATTCCGATGTCAAACTCAATTCAAGCCAAAGCCTAGACAAATTCGAGCTATCCCTAAAGTCGAAAGTGACAGCCGAGTCACCTATACAAATAACATCACACCTAACTTAAGATTACACTCACCACGCACTGTGCACGGCACACACGAAGACAACTTTAAGAATGAGCGAACTTGCGTAGTAGCATTTGGCACAAATTACCACAAGTTGAATTAGAAATTCAACGTTTTTTGACAGTACGCTATACAAATGTAGGTTGATGGAAAGCAAGGCTAAATAATGAGATTTTCACACCGTTTTTTGTCTTTATTCTGGACACTGTAGCAACTATGACTTATGTGAAAGAACATCACTTGGAAAGAACCGGTGCATCACAGATTTTGCATTTACATTCGCTAAAGCGTTCAGTTATGTCGTATACTGAGGTATATATGCCTTGGTAAAATCTTGCCGACGTAAGATCATTGAGTACGCTTAAAAATTTTCAATGTTTTGATAGAAATGTGTTGTATCAACCTGCATTCAGCGGTTAGGTTTTAGGTAGCTGAAAAGATTAGCCAGGTGACTCGAATGATATGTTTTTCAAGTTTTGAAGAACTGCATTCTTTATCGTTCGAAAGAATACACAGATAATAATAGTTCATCATGTACTGATTGCATATCAAGCAATAATTTACATGTGGATCAGGTTATTTAGAAAGGCTATCTACACAGTGAGTACTGCATTTGGAAACCCTACGCTTTAAAAGGAATTTTGAAAAAAAAAAATAAAAAAGAAAAATTTTGTGATCGGTAAGCCTCATTTTCTAAACGCTAAACAATACGTTCAAGCCATAAGAGCCCACGGCGCAATAGGTTCTAGATGAGTAGAGATAAACTCAGGTGCGTGTACCAAGTTTTTAGACGCCGCAAAGAAAAGCAAGACGCTGGGAATTACTTAACGAAGGAATTAGCCTTGCAATAATAGCTCAGTTATATAATAATGTAACTATGCACAATACCATCCATGGCTTTTGAAACACAACTTAGTGAACATATTGAGAGCAAGCAGGCACATCACGAAGCTTCGATACCCCCCAAAAAGCTATTGATAAGTGTTTGTGAAAATATAAGCCAGGAACAGCCTCCCCTACATACATATTGACAAGAGTGTCAGTGTAAGAAGGGAGGAGTGATAAACATGGTACTCGGCAGTGCTATTAGCAGTTAGGCTTCAGGTATGTATACTTTGGTTACCATCCAGGTGACTAGGTATACAGTCTAAAAAAAAGAGATCCCGTGAAAGGCAAGAAATAGACACATGCTGTAACCACCTCCACCGAATCAAACAGTATACATGAAAATCACAATGGGTGATGGAAGGTGACAGCTGAATTCAGTCGTAAAAATATCTGTTGTGGGACGTAACGCGAACAGGACGGCCGATTGAGGGTTAGGCCTCGAGGATCATGGGTTTAGGCGACGAAAGTTCCCGTTCGAATCTGGCGGCAGCGTTCCGAGCCATGTCGAAGCCGAAGACGCAGCATCTTCCGCCGCCGGCCGTGGTCATCACGCTGGACACTGACCCGTTCACCGTGGATGCAAGCCCCGTCACAACGCCCGTCGCTGCCACTACGCCCACGCTCGCCAAAGGACGACTGTCCCTGCACAGGTAAATCAATCAATCAATCAATCAATCAATCAATCAATCAATCAATCAATCAATCAATCAATCAATCAATCAATCAATCAATCAATCAATCAATCAATCAATCAACTAACCAATCGATCAATCAACTTATCAATCAATCAATCAATCAATCAGTTAAACAATCAATCAATCGCAATTAAATAAATAAACATTATCCATAGAACAATGAACCAAAGAGAAGATGGAACTAGAGATTAAATTAAAAAGTAAAAATGCGCACTAACTCATTTGGGCACGCTTTGCCAATCTGAGCAAGTACTATAGCAGTGTGAACATGTCAATTAACATTTAGTGTCAATCGTACGCATTATTATAACGCAAAGCACTGGAAAGTTGGCGCAAGGACTCTGAGAAAAGGCGCATCCACGATACTCATCCCTCATTATACGTTTGTGTATGTACTGCGAGCAGGTTTTAAAAGATCGAATTGTTCTAGCCACTCGATTTCATACTAGAGAAAAATAAACACATATATTGAAAAACTGACGTCCATTTCCTCGTTTTCATTGGTTCATATCAGCTGCTACCTATATGACACCCGCAGAAACACTTCTTATAGTTCTTGGTAAGTGCGTTTCCTTAAAGCTGCGGTTTTCTTGGGCACTCCTTTTTTTATCACAAATGCGCTGCATGGTAGATGGCCGCAAGTAAAGCGGTACTTCAAAATATTTTGCGATGTGAATGCATCTCTCGACATGCTGATTCTTTTTCATAAAAATCTATATATGAATTTTTCTATTCGTTCTTCCACTTATATAAGGGCTATAATGCTGTCACTTGAGCTTGAATGTTCATGACACAGTAACCTGCAAACTGCCGGAACTCGTCAGAAAAGTACGGAACGACTTGTGTTCGGTTCGGGTGAAATTAGTTATTATTAGCTGAATTATTCGTATGGACTTAAAATAGCAGTATTTCACTCCAAACATCTGTAGAAAGTGAAAGAGAAAAATAGCTATAATTTGCAGTTCTACGTATGAATACAAATACGTGCTCAGCAGACAGTGGCTTGGAAACATTTTAGAATAATTCGTCTGAGACGCACTACCATTTCTGAATGAGAAGTTCTATGAAGTGGGTGGGTGTGCGTCAGACGGTTATATGACACTTGCAAAGTACAGCCTGTAGCGAAGTGCAGGTTGGGATCATC